TGGCACGTGTGCCCGAAGTGGCACGTAAAGTCATGTTGCCTGGCATGCATAGCATCTCCTGTTCCTCCTCTGGGTTTCTGGCACACATGCAGGCCTGACAATCAGTGGCACATGCAGCAGTTCCAGAAACTGGAAGAGCTGGTCTTTTGTTTTCCAGGGTGCGCATGCATGCCAGCCAGTTGATTGCCATGTGCGCATGCACAGCAGAAAGTGGAAGACCAGTTGGCCGGTGCGCATGCATGTGCCGGAAACTGGAGGTTCATTTCCCAGCATGCACATAACCCTTGGGCCACTCCTTTTCCGGGTTGCGTCGCCGACAAACGCATTCCCTTTTTGGCACTTTGTGCCAAAAAAGTTTGCTATCACTGCCCTATATCATTTCTGACATGACTGTTCAGGCTCTTCTTGAAAGCTTTCAATGATGAAGCACCTACAACCTCTGAAGGCAAGCTGTTCCATTGGTTGATTGTTCTCACTCTCAGAAAATTTGAAAAAGCTCCTTTGAGACAACCATGGCCTGGATGACTGAGAATCTCCATAGATGTATTTTACATCCATTGCTTCGCTAAGATATTCCATTCCATCCTCCCTTTTCTGTTTGTTTCTCTTGTTGGTTTCAACATTCCTTGTCTGTGGAGTAAAGGTAGTCCTTGGGTTACAATCACAATTGGGACCAGAACTTCTGTTGCTAAGCAAGATGATTGTTAAGTGAGTCTCGCCCAATGTTATGACTTTTTCCATGATTGTTAAACAAATCACTGCAGTTGTTGAATCATGTGTTAATTAAGCAGATCTGGCTTTCCTAATGATGGCTTGTTAGAAGCAGGATGAGAATGTTGCAAATAGCAATCACCTGGGATTCTGCAACTGTGGTAAATACTGTATATGCTGGTTGCCCAAATTTTGTGTGGATGCTGTGATAGTTATAAGTGCAAGAACTGATTGTACTGTCGTCACTTTTAAGGATCATTAAATGGATGGTTGTAAGTTGAGGACTATCTGTATGCTCAATCATTCTTAGGCAGATTTGAAGACCTTTTCTTTAAAGATTCATCAATTTTAAAATAAACTTCTGCAAATGGGGAGGTACTCTTATCCTGTTGCTAGAACTCTTGTGAGACAGCATCATTCCAGCTGCCTAAGGATTCATATTTAATGAATGAATTTAATGGGAGTATCCAGTAGTGAGGTTCCAAATTTTTTACTACCAGTTTTTTTTTTTTATAGAGTTTTTTTTTTTTTTTAATAGAGTTTTATTAGTATTTGTAGGCCGCCCTTTTCCCTGAGGGGACTCAGGGCGGTTCACATAAAACCGGGAAGGGGGAATACAGACATTAAGATAGAAACATATAATAAAATAGTAAGCAACATACATTCATCATTCGGGAGGGGTAACTATCCTTATCCCCAGGCCTG